ATCAATAAAATGAGAACAAAGGCTGAAGTGGCTTAGTACTAGAGCACATGCACTGTTGTGTGATATTTTGTGTGTGTTCTGACAAATAAAGCTTGCCTGGAAATCAGAGGGTGGAACTAGCCTCTAGTTAACCATAGGAGCTGGGTGGTGGTGGCCCATGCCTTTAATCTCAGCACTCGGGAAGCTCACATCTTTAATACCAGCATTTGGGAAGCTCACATCTTTAATCCTAGCACTCAGGAGGCAGAGACAGGAAGTGATAAGACAAGGTGGAGACAAGATCTTGGCCCTTTTGGTTAGAGGATCTGGAGAGGTAAGAAGTCACTGGTGGCTGCTCCTCTGCTTCTCTGATCTTTCAGGTTATTACCCCAATATCTGACTCCTGTTTTTTATTGATAAGACTAATTAGGTTCACACTTCAATGTACTGCACTTGGAGAGGACCAGAATTTGGTTCCCAGCACTGACAACAGGCAGCTTACAACTACCTGTAACTCCAGCTCCTGAATACCCAACACCTTCTTCTCTTCTCCATGGGTACCTACACTTCTGTGCATATAACCCCACACTGACATACACACCCAGATAACTTTAAAAAGTAGTATTTTGAAACAAGGTCTCACTCTGTAGTCTGGCTGACCTGGAACTTACTATGGAGACCAGGTTGGCCTTGAGCTTACAGAAATCTGCTTGCCTCTGACTCGTGAATTGTGGGATTAAAGGCATGCACTATCGCACCTGACAATAAAATTAATTTAAAAAATAATCAATGAGTGGCTAGAAAGATGACTCAGAGGTTAAGACCACTGGCTGCTTTTCCAAAGGGCCTGGGTTCGATTCCCAGCAACTACATGGTGGCTTACAAGCATCCCAGGGGATCCAACACCCTCTTCTGACCAAGCACTACACACACATGGTGCACAGACATACATGTAGGCAAAACACCCATACACGTAAAATAAAGTCTCAAAAAACTTAAATGTAAGCAAAGTCTAGAGAAGATGTGGGAAAGGGAACTTTTAACACTGCTGGTGCAATGTAAATTATACTACAGGAATTAAAATGGAAGTGACTCAAAAACTAACAACATGAGCCACATTTCACTCCTCAGGACACGGACACACACACACACACACACACACACACACACACACACACACACGCGGGAGTGGACAGATGATTGTGGAAAAAATGTTGCAGTACCTTAGACACAGTCACTATCTGACCCAGCAACTCCACTCTTAGGTATACACACCAAGAGAAATGAACACACATTCACACACACACACACACACACACACACACACACACAAATATATGAATGTTCATAGCAGCATAATTCACAACAGGCAAAAGATAAAAGCACTGTAAATATTCACCAACTATCAAATTGATAAACAAATGGGTTATATACATATAACAGGAATATTTTTCAGCCATAAAAAGAATGAGAACCCAGGCGGTAGTGGCATACACCTTTAATCCCAGCACTTGGGAGGCAGAGCCAGGCAGATCTCTGTGAGTCTACAGAGTGAGATCCAGGACAGGCACCAAAACTACACAAAAAAAAAAAAAACCTGTCTTGAAAAACCAAACCAAACCAAACCAAACAAAAAGAATGAGGAATTGATATCAACATACTGTAATACAGCTGAAAACTAAATAAATGAGAACACACACACACACACACACACACACACACACACACACACACACACACACACACCCCTTACTGCATGATTCCGTTTCTAGCAAAAGTCCCGAATAGTAAAAGCAACACAGGTAGAATGTTTGTTGTGTTAGGTTAGGGCTGGGCGGTGGGGAGGAATAGGGATGATGGCTGAAGGAGAGAGTTTCTTTTGGTGATGATGAAAATGTTGAACATTGACTATGGTGATGGTGGTGAATTACAGACTGAATGGGGGAACCAGAAGGCTTGTGAATTGTATGTCAGCATAGCTTTTTAACAGAACAAACTGAACAATCATGAGAGTCCGGCAAACCCTCATGCTCCTGCTATCTCGTAACCTGGAGGATGGCCCTTGAATATCATATGAGAATTGAGAATCATATCCTTCAAGCATGTCACCGAGACCAGCCAAAAATATGAACATTGGGATATGGTGCTGTTGAAGTTTACTGAAGAAATTCTCATCTCCTTCCATGAGCATAACATCAGAGTCTGTCAGAGTCTCTATTAAGTTTGGCTTTTGATATGCCGTGTTCAACAAGCAAATCATGTGACTTAGTACACCACTCTACCATGTAAGGGAACTTCTCTTCCACAGAGAACAGGGCCAACTTCAACAGTGTAATACTGCTCCTTTAACTACAGTAACTTTCTTGGACATTCATCTGTAATAAGTTTATGCTTGTTGGGGCTGGAGAGATGGCTCAGCGGTTAAGAGCACTGGCTGCTCCTCCAGATGTCCTGAGTTCAATTCCCTGCAACCACTTGGTGGCTCACAACCATCTGTAATGAGATCTGGTGTCTTCTTCTGGCTTGCAGTCATACAGGCAGCCAGAGCACTCTATACTCTATATAAATAAATTAAAATCTTTTTTTTTTAAAAAAAGCCTACAGTTATCAATAATATTATAACATGTTGGCCATCTTTTCCCTTTGTAGGAAAACCTACTTAAGTATCATATAAAAGTCTGTTACTATCTGAAGTTTGGCAACTCCTCCTTTAATGAGACCACAGATAATTTCTTGTAGGATTGTTGATACAAACTGTGCTTTTCTGAAATTCTGGCATGATCTTGATGATTTTGATCTTGCAGCCTGTCTTTCTCTTCAAGGGCCAGCACCATGCCCACCACCACTGAGCACACACCTGGCACTTGACTCTGTGCCCATCCACACAAACAGCCACATGGTCCCTGGACAGGCCCACAATTGCATCCCGCACGTCCCCTTGAGTGTGAGCTCAGGGGTGCAGCCACTTTTTTGTTTCTAAAGCACACCCATTATACATGTGAAGACATTTCTTTCCCTCCTTTGACCATCTCTGGAACTTAGCTTCTATTATCAACCATCTCTGTTTGATGCATGATTATTTTTATTTCTTTTCTTTTTTCTTTCTTTCTTCCTTTTCTTCGTCTCCTCCTCCTCCTCCTCCTCCTCCTCCTCCTTCTTCTTTTTGTTTTGTTTTTTGAGACAGGGTTTCTCTGTGTAGTTTTAGTGCCTGTCCTGGATCTCGCTCTGTAGACCAGGCTGGCCTCGAACTCACAGAGATCCACCTGGCCCTGCCTTTCAAGTGCTGGGATTAAAGGCATGTGCCATCACCGCCTGGCTGATTTTTTTTTCTTTTCTTAATAACACAATCAAATACAATGCGAATGCAATGTGCCAATCAGGAACAGCAAAACTTGTGTATATTTAGACAATATTTCTTCACAGTAAAAATGAGATTATCAGACTCTGGCACCAACTGCATGGCATTATTCACAATGTTTCAGGGAAGCGTTGACCCACTTAACCAAAGGCTTCCCAAGAATACCACCAGATTGGGAGCTGGAGAAGATCGGAAGCACAGAGAGGACAGGAGACAGTTGTTCTTCCCCGGCACCTGGCTTATGTTACTCAGCAGAAGGATGCTCACCATTCCTCAAGCAAGGAAGGGATGACATTGTCCTTTAATGCCCGCCCTATGACCTTGTCGGCCTATTGTGTATCAGCTGTGCAGAAATCCCCAGGAGGAGATGCTGCCCTCCAGATCTCTTACATCATCCAGGGTCTGCTAGTCATGTCTACAGAGTCCCTTCTAGAAACACCAACAGGACTGACCAGGCTCCACCTTGAGTGGCCCACAGCACAGTACCTATGCCCTCAGGTCTCTATACTGGAGACCCTAGACCAGTCAGTCCCCTAGACCCAGAGGGGCCAAAGCTGATATGGGTGGCCAACCCCAGCTCTGTTTGGAGGCTAGTAGGTGCACGAGCCCTGGCTCCCTCCCTGGGGGTGATCCTGACCTTAAAGTCCCCAGGGCTGTTTCCCAGAGCTCAGGCAAATACTCTGACCTCCCATACCCATCCAACACATCAGGTCACTCTAATGGGAAAAATGAGACACATACTCGACAAGTAAATCACAGTCCAGACCTCTGTACCTCTGCTCTGCCCAAGGTCATCTGCAGTCCACACCATTTCATTACTTCTCTGTTTCTTGTTTTGCCTGATTCAAGCCCAGAGAGGCATGGTCCACCCTCAACAGCTTTTAGGTCACTTTGTCCAGTGGCCTCCCTGATAAAAGTTCCCAGGGGCAGGGCCAGGTCTCCAAGTCCACCCTCAGTGGTCCAGAATTGGCAGCTGAAAGGGCTTAGACTGGAAGCCATGATTCTGGATTCAGCAGTCTATCCATATGATGCTGAATGGCAGAGGCCCAAAGATCTGCAATGTCACAATAAGGAAATCCTTACACAACTGGCTCTGGGCCACTTCTGGCCTTTAAAGACCTTGACCTCGAGGACATACTATCTGAATTCAGGATTAGCTCAGTGAGTATGTACAGCATCAGGTCCTGGCTGGGACCAGAAGGGGTCTGAGTTCTGTAAGAAGGCTGGTAGTCAGCTCTCCAGAAAAGTGTGAGTGTGCCTCAGCCTTGTCCCAAAAGCAAACACTGCTGGGCGACAGGAAGAACACCTGCCAGATGATGTGAAGGTATGGATACATCCTACCTCCTAGACCACCGGAGCCGTGCCCACCCCCAGGGGGAGGACTCTCAGAACCAGACACATAATTGGACTGGCTCAGTGAAAGGATCTGGGGAGAATATTCCTGGCTGGGTAATTTGGGTCAGAGAGGCAAACTAGCAAGCTGGCCAGTCAGCTGACCAGCAGTTTTTTTGCTCGGCCCTTGGTGGCTCGTGCCATCACATGCTCTTGGGCAGCAGATAGAGATGTGCCACACAGATCTAGATCCACTCTGAAGTGGTAGGGTGGCACACACCCTCTTTTCTGAAGTGAACATTTGATTTTCACTTTCCTGTCATTTCGGGATTGTCCATGCACTGGCCGTGGCTGTACATGACCGTGCCCAGTGCCACTCAGTACCTCAGATCTGAGGGCAGACCTGAAGCTGCTTGCCTGGGTGTGGTGGCTCATGTCTGTCATCCCAAGACTCAGTGGGGTGAGAGAGGATTGCTTTGAGTCTAAAGCTAGCCTGGGCGACACAAGTAGTTCCAGGTCTGCTTTCCAAGGAGCAGACTTGCTGGTGAAATCTCAGGACCCTTCCCCCAGGCTCTCTGCTCATCGGCGTTTGCACACCAGGAGAGGGTCTGACCTCTTGAGAGCAGCAGTAGGACTGGGCTGAAGTTTAAACAGCCGGGGCTGAGGGATCTCTCTGTACACGCACTTGAGACACAGCCACTCTCCCTTGCGACTGTTCTTTACTCTCTGCATCTGACACCCCTAAAGCTGAGCCAATTGACTTAAAAAAAAATCACATAGCTGGGCATGGTGGTGTGCGCCTTTAATCCCAACACTTGGGAGGCAGAGGCAAGTGGACCTTTCTGAATCTAAGGCCATCCTTGGAGAATAGCAAGCCCCAGGCCAGTTAAGGCCACATGGTGAGATTCTGTCTCAAAACAAAACAACAACCTATCTGTTTTCCATTTTCCAAGAGACACAGGGCTGAGGAATGTCGGTGGGTATCAATAGGCAGTTCCATGAAATATCATCTCTTCTGTTTTATTTGGAGCAGATGGAGCAGTGACGGTCACAGGACAGTGGTTTTTCTGGAGCAGTTGTTCTGGCTTAGGCTGCTGAGCACAGCCAGCCCAGTCTTCCCCCTCCTCCCAACCAGAATATCCTAACCCAGGGCCATCCCTGGGAGGTCCCTGAACACACAGCAAGCACATTTCTGCAGCCCAGTTCTTCCTCTCCAGCTACAAGGCAGCATCTGGAAGAAGGGGCTTGTCCTTGGCCGGGCTGAGACTCCAGGGGACCTTTGTGAGCCCTCGGCACACTCCAGACTTAAATCTCGAGGTTGTGGCAGAAGCTTACTGTGGAAACAGCCACAGGTTTTACCAGTGCCGTTGACAGGTACCCAAAGGGCCTCAGTCTGTCTTGACAGGGTTGAGAATCCTACAGGGAGGATGGGACAGGACAGGGCAGATGTTTTTTTTGTTTGTTTGTTTTTGTTTTTTGTTTTTTGTTTTTTTTGTTCCTCAAATAAAGGTAGGGGTCTGGATTCCTAAACAAGTCCACCGCTTTTCTAAGGCGCATCTGGATTACAGGGGCCTCTGGCACTCACAGCAAGTCCTTTGGGACCTTCTCAAGCCCCGCCTCCTACTGCACCCACAGTAAGGCTCTCAACCCTCAGTCTCTTCTCTTCATTGGTCCGGCACCCAGGAGGCTAGGGCTTGGTCCCTGCGGGCCGCTGCCTTCAGCGTGACAGCTACAGCCCTCCAATCTTGAAGCCCAGCAGGCACTGTCCCAGGACCACCCTTATTTTGGTGCTTGGTGCCAGCGGCATATCACCTTCCCCACACTCCCACCGATGCAGCGTTTGCCTCCGGCTCCTTGAACAGTGTATACGCTAAAAAAATAACGTTGTATAATCGAAAAAAATAACAATGGGTAAAACGTACCACATTTAGTTAGAATGATAATAATTTCTAAGTTTCTTCCTAGCAATCCTACTACATCATTTTTATTTTTATTTCTTTTTATGGAATTGTTATGCCAGTTCAAAAGAGCCTCTCTAAAGTCCTTGGTGCTGCTTTGTACGAAGTAGGAAGATCTACTTTTATCCATTTCAAGGACTGTATGAAGCCCTTTACTGTCAGAAAACAGATTGGTGTGAACATGATTTTAGGAAGGTTTGAAATATTTGTAAGATGCCTGCAAAGAGGTTCCAGTCATCAAATATAATATCGTATGAACAGTAAAAAACGAAAAACTAAAATGAAAGGGATACCTAAAGGTCAGAAATTACCAGGAGCATCAGCGGCGGGTGGAGCTGTGGCGCAGGCCTGAACCCCAGAGGCTAGAACTTGGTTCCATGGGCTAAGACAGGTAGTACATGCCATAAGCCGCGACCGGCCCGGCGAGGACGCCAGGAACCGCGCCGCCGCCGAAAGAGGCCGGGGAGCTGTGCAGCTGAGTGCCCAGCGGAAACGGCAGGGCAAACGCCGGCAGTAGTGGCTTGGCTGCCAGCTTCAGCTTCTCCAGCTCAGCCTCCTGCAGCCGCTTGGCCTTGGCTCGGCGGTTCTGAAACCAGATCTTGACTTGAGTCTCAGTGAGGCTCAAACTGCTGGAGAACTCGGCGCGTTCAGCAATGGACAAGTACTGCTTCTGGTGAAACTTGCGCTCAAGCGCCAGCAGCTGCGCGGTGGTGAAGGGCGTCCGTGGCTTGCGGTTGTTTTTGTGTTTGCGGAGGGTGCAGGGTGGAGGGCTGGGGGCACCTGAAAGGAAAGAGAAGCACAGGGCGAGCGCTCAAACCCTGGCTGCACACCCCTATCCCGACACTGTCCCATCCCCTACAAAAGAAGGTTGGTGCTCCGTGACCACTCCGCTCAGAGGAGCGAGGTCTCCAAAGCCACGTGGATAAGCAAAGCAAGGGGGCAGGGAAGTGGAGGGGAGGCGCTCTAGACTCTCCCAATCCGTGACCTCGCACTCCAGGGAAACTGGAGACTGCCCACTTGGAAAAAGAGCGAAGCTGGGGCGGGAGACGGCTGTAATAGCAGGATGAGTAGAGGTCAGGGCTATAGGCAGACTAGTTAGTTGTCGCGAGCATACGCAAAGTCGGTAAGGGGTGTAAAAGCGTGAGCGACAAGGAGTGGAAAAGCATTAGGGGTGTCTGTCCTGGGCTGCGGACCTCGCCCAGGAAGAGACGTGGACGTGGCTGTTGGGCCTGTGCACAATGTCGGGCTCCCATCACCAGTTTTCCCATCACCAATTTGTACCAATTTGTGGCTGGGAGGGTTAGTGGCTAATAATTAAGTTCGGAGCCACAGCGAGCATTGCCCCCGGACTTCCTCGCCTTGAATGCGCGCACGCTTTTCAGGGCCTGGGACCCGGGCACTAAGAACTTACGTGGGGGGCACGTGTGCGTGACCGGTGGGGGCCATGCTCCGGGCTTCGAGGCACCCTGCGGCCTCTCCTCCCCTAGCTCCCCAGGCTCGGAGCCCCGTACGCGCTCTGCCTCCAGCAGTGACTCGACGCTGAAGGGGAGTGGTCCATGCCCTACGTGGCCCCCGCCGCGTGTTCCGAGCCCCTCCGTGTTCATGTCGAGTGTCGCCCGGGCCATGCATGGGATGGCGGGTGCAGGGCTACCCGCCCGGCTGGTACTCGCGAGACGCAGCGGCAGCTTGTTTTGCCAGGACCCTGGACTCGGTGGCTCTCGGGCCCCTCCGCACCCTATAAAAAGGTGGCTCCGCTTTCATGAGCCGCTACCCAATGGTCGTTTCAGCCGATGTGCGGGCCTCAGTGCGGGTTGGATTCACTGCTTTCGGGGGCGGGACCGACAGAGAAGGGCGGGGCCGCTGCCTGGGAACTGAGTGCCCCGAGACCTGGGGTGGCATTGTCGCACCCACATCAGGTTTTCAGGACCTACTGCCGTCTGTGGGGGCGCTTATCGAGCTCCTCCTGCGGGAAAGGCTGAGGGGGAACCCAGGCACCGACGAAGAGATGGCCTCAGCCTCCTGGAGCGGAGGAATGGACAGCGCGCGGGCGCGTATAGTGTAGCCACCGTCTAGGCATCAATTCTTGACCTTGCTCGGATCTCGAGCCTAAGCGCTTAGACAGAGAGCAGTTTTGAGCTCGCGCCTCCTACAATGGTGTGTTGACCGGCTGCTTTTCTTGCTGAGAAACTGGCTCACGACTATTTTAGTCATAGCGTTCGAATGAGACCAACAAGATTCTGCTTTCTGATCCTTTGAGGTCGAATTGTGGCGTCTTTAGTCTCGGGTCTCTCTTAGGGCTTCTGGAGTCTCCAAACATTTTCCGGGCCATTAGAAACTTCGAGGGCTGCGCTTGCTTCCCAGCTTGGGCCAGTAATCGACTGGAGAGACATGTCTCTGATCCCGAAGACAGAGGCCAAGGGAAGGTGGTGGAGGAAGACCTTACTAGCCTTAAGGATGCAGCTCAGGATGCAAGCGCCTCAGGTTGCTCAAAGCTGAGAGTCCTTAACTAGATGCCGGGTGCATGATCGTCTTCTGGGTGCCCTGTATTTGTCCGGCTGAATCGCTGATGCAGATTCATGAAAGATGTCTAGAGAGGGTCTCCAGTGATGCAGTCTTTCCCTGACCAGGACAAGCAGGGTGGGAACCTCTCGATCGGCTCTCAAAAGCATCAGCTGAGGATTCTTTGGGCTCGGGAAGGGTGCGGCTGAGGCCAGATAGAGTCTGTCGCTACTGGTGATTCTTGTCCCCAAACCTCACAGCTCTTCTGGTTTAAAAACGTTCTCCCACGCTGCAGAGCAAACTGGCGCCGCAGCCTCTTTCTGAAGGAAGAAAACCCGGCTTGGATTTTAGAATAATATCGGAAATTGATTTAGGAAATCAAGTCTGATTAATATCCTAGGGCATAAAAGCAACATTTATTGTTTATATTTATTTGTTATTTGTTTATTTCCTATTTTTCCATATAATTCATTTGATCATATTCTCCCCTCCCCAACTCCTTCCAGAGCTTTCCAACCTCCTTGTTCTCTTTTTCTTAAAAAAAAAAAATCAGGAAAAACAACAAAATAACAAAAACAAAAAATCAAAACAAACTTAAAAAAAAGAAAATCAGTAAGAGAAAAAATGCCAAAACAAAACAAAAATAGCACAAAAACCGTGGAGTCCATTTTGTGTTGGCATCTACTCCTGAACATGCTTTGGAGTGTGGTAGATAAATCCAGTGATGTATACTCCATTGGAGAAGGCTAGGGATTTTGTCTGATTTGAATCTGTACGGGCCTTGTGCATGCTGTCAGAGTCTCTGTGAGTTCATATTTGTATCAGTCTGGTCATGTCTGGAAGACACTGTTTCTTTGGAGTCATCCACCATTTCTGGCTCCTACAGTCTTTCTGCCTCCTCTTCTGTATAGATCCTGAGCCTTGAGAGGAGGGATTTGATAAAGACATCCCATTTAAGGCTAAGTGCTCCAAAAGCTCTCTCTGCACATTGCCTAATTTTGGATCTCCTTGTTAATTAACATCTACTGGAAGAAGAAAATGCTCTGATGTGGGCTGAGTGATGCTCTGCTCTATGGGTGTAGCAATATGTCATTAGGAGTCACTTTGTTGTATGTTCCTTTAAAAAATTTTTTAATTTATGTGTATTGGTGTTTTGCCTGAATAGATGTCTGTGTGAGGGTGTCAGATCTTGGAGTTACAGACAGTTGTGAGCTGCCATGTGGGTGCTGGGAATTGAACCTGAGTCCTCTGGAAGAGCAGTCAGCATTCTTCACCACTGAGCCATCTCTCCAGCTCCTGTTGCAAGTTCCTTTAAGCAGAATAGTAATAGTAGGTTTCCCCCTAAGCATATGACATATTCAGTCTCAGGTTCTTAACCACTTTAACAGTATCATGGGTCGGTTCCATCTGATGGAGTAGACCTTAAATTCAATCAAAAAGTGTTTGATTATTCCTATAAAACTTGTGCCACTGTTGCATATTTGGTTTTTTGAGACATGATCTCTTTATGTAGGCTGTGCTGGCCTTAAACTTATGGAATTCCACCTACCTGCCTTTGCCTCTCAAGGTCTTGGATTAAAGGCATGAATCACCGTGACCAATTTCTCATTGACTTTTAAAAATAAACTTAGTTTATTTTATTGTGTGTACGATTGAGGACATGCATTTGCCAGGGCACAGGGGTGGAGGTCAGAGGACAACTTTGTGGAGTCAGTTCTTTATTCTCACCTTTATGTACACTCTAGGGATCAAATTTTGGCAGGCTTTTGAGGACAGTGCCTTTACCAACAGAGCCATTTCGCCAGCCCCCACATCATTTTCTTTCTTTAAAAATGTTTCAGTTTATTTTATAAAGTTTTTTTTTTTTTCCCCAAGACAGGGTTTCTCTGTGTAGTTTTGGTACCTGTCCTGGAGCTTGCTCTGTAGACCAGGCTGGCCTCAAACTCACAGAGATCCGCGGCCTCTGCCTCTTGCGTGCTGAGATTAAAAGCATGTGCTACCACTGCCAGGCAATTTTTTTTCTTTTTTATAAATCTTTTGCTTTTTTTGTAGTTTAAACACATTCTATAGGGAAAAAAGTAGATGCACATTGTAAATGTTATAGTCGGCAGCATCAGCCTTTACATTGTACTCTCAGGTCTGGTCTATATTCTTTGTTTGTTTGAGACAAAAAATTTCTGTGTGTAGCCTTGGCTGGTGTCTGAGTCACTGTTCTATTGCTCTGACGAGACACCATGATCAAGGGAACTCTTATACAGGAAAGCAATTAATTGCTTAAAGTTTTAGAGACTTTAGTCCATTATCATCATGGCAGGGAGCATGGCAGCAGGCAGGCATGGTGCTGGAGAAGTAGCTATGGGCTACATCCTGAAAGAGAAGGCAGGGGGAGGGGGAGGAAAGGGAGGGAGGGAGAAAGAGAGAGAGAGAGAGAGACTGGGTCTGATATGGGCCTTTGAAACCTCAAAGTCCACGCCCCAGTGACATTCTTCCTCCAACAAGGCCACACTTCCTGATTCTTCTCAAATAGTGCCACCCCCCCCCCCCATGACTAAGTATTCAAATACATGAACCTATGGAGGCCATTCTTTTCCAAATCATGTCAGCTGGCCTAGAACTTGCTATGTAGACCAGACTGGCCTTGAACTGCCAGACATTCCTGCCCCATTTCTACCTGTGTTGGGATCACATGTGTGTGCCACCACAACCAGCTCTGTATTCTTGAGTTCTGTTCTGGGGCAGTCACATCATTTGGACGCATGTTGGTCCTTTTGGGTCTGCTTTTTAAGATTTTTCAGGCAGGGCTGCCACAGTGCTTGACCAGAGTCAGTTTTTTGACTGGGGCCTGGCCCTCTGTCCATAACCTCTCGCCCCCAGCTAGACTCGGGAAGCACTGTGGGAAGACCTCTTTCCCACAAACTTACTCAGCTTTCTGATATTAGGATAAAATACCTAAGCTAGGGCTTCCAAACCTTCAGTCCATGGTCACTTGGCCCTGTTATTTCTGAGCTTGTGGGAACATTATGGTGGGGAGCATGTGGTGGAACAAAGCTGCTCACTTTGTGGCAGCTGGAAGCAAAGTGGGGTGGTGGTCAAGTCAAGACACCTTCTTCAAGGACACACGTCCACCTACACCCATCTCCTACAAAGACTGTACAACTAATGCAAGACATCCACAGAGTCTATTTAATGAGCAAGGAATTTATTCGAGGGTTAATTCACTACGATGGGAGATTTATCATAGGGCCTGAGGATGCTGAGCTATAACCCACACTGATTTGCCTGGTCCAAGATCTCAGCATCCAATACCACAAGGAAGAGAAAAGAGAGCTGCTTATGTGCAGTGCATCCCAGGTCTTAAGGGTCCTGACTGGCAAAACCCCAGGGTCATTTACTTCAAGGTCAGAGGCAGATGTAACAGTTACCTGCTACCTCACTAGAGGTGGTGCTTCAAGGTGAAAGCTAGAACAGCTATCCACTACATACCACCTCCCAGTAGTGCCACAGATTTGGTAAATGAGCCTTTTTAGGGTCAAAACCTAGGTTCTGGAAGCTCCAACAAACTAGACTTGACCACTCTTCTCCAACAGGCCAAGAGACAAGTAATAGTGTAAAGCAGAGGCAGGGGATTGATTCCTTGTGGCCACGTTCCTTATGCTCATATTAACAGTAATAATGGTTGGGGAGAGGAAACTCTTCCCGGGTCAAAGCTGCTGCAAGCTGTGTAGAGAGCTCCAGAAATGCAGCTTTTGTGAGTTCTCATCTGTACTGGGTTGTGCTTTTCAGCGACGCAGCTCCCTTTGATTCACCCCCACTCCTGGAAGTAGCCCCTTACATCCCTACTCTTGCAACTCTAGATTGGAATAGGTCTCTTGGTCTGCCTGTGACCCCCTTTTTGGTGCAAATAGACATTTGTTCTCATCTTCCTGGTGTATGGGGGTGAGGGGTGGGTCACACAATACCAGCTCAGCAGGTGTGATGAGTCCCTCAAGACTTTAGGATGGGATGGTTGACCCATCCTATTGTGCCTGGAGCCAGTTAATGGTGCAGCTTGGGCAGTTTTTCTTGTGCCCTGTGGCTCTACCTTCTGTGAAGCCAGGTCTGTGTGTCCATCTGCCCAGGCTCTCCTCCATTCCATCATGGTCCAGTGTAGTGGGCTTTTTCTTTTGGGCCACCAACCAGCTCCCAAATCATGACACAGAGACTTAATATTAGTTATGAATGCTCAGATTTATCTTATGCTTGTTTCTTATAACTTAACCTGTTTCTTTTCATCTATGTTTTGCCTTGGGGCTTTTTACATTTTCTTTCTGTATATCTTACTTTCCTGTTGTCTCCATGGCTGGCTGGTGGCTGCTTGGCTTCTGTCCTCAGGTGTGTCCCTCTCTTTCTCTCTCATTCTCTCCCCCTTCTCTTCTCTCTTCTTCTCTTATTTATTCTCTCTGTCCACCAGCCCCACCTATCCTTCTGCCTAGCTATTGGCCATTCAGCTTTTTATTACACCAATCAGGTGCCTTAGACAGGTAAGGTGAAACAGTAACACATCTTTACCTAATTAAACAAATGCAGCACAAACAAATGTAACACATCTTTACACAGTTAAAATAATATTCCACAACAGATCAGTTGGGCTTCAGTGTCTACTCTAGGTATCTTCAGATTATTTAACTCTTGCTGGCCAGCCCCCGACACACAGGTGATGCAAAAAATTACTAAGATTATTCTTGGGTCTGTAAGCCCAAAGAGAAGTCTTTTGAGGCATTTCAAAAAAAAAAAATCAGTGCTTGAAACACAGAAGCAAGGATATATTTGTGGTCATAATAGGTGACAATCCTGCACTCCTAAACTCTGGGGCTGGGAATAGGGTAATAGGCTAGGACATCCCTACAGAGTGGTACTAAAAGGAGATCCCTCACCTGGGGAGAAGCAGTGTTGCCTTTCAGAGTGATGGGAAGGAGGAGCACACACACACACACACACACACACACACACACACACACACACACACACACACCATTTGAGAGACAGCACAACTCCTCCCACTCCTGGACCCCCAAAGTTCTCATAGCCAATAGCCACCAAGCTGATCTTAACTCTACCCTATTCCTGACTCCTTGAATCTCAGGAGCAAGATCATGGGGACCACAAAGGACTGCCTCAAATCTTCTCCATCAGTCCACAGAGGAGTACTGTGTATTCAGGTGTGCTGGGCATCAAAACCTATAGCCAGATGGGTATGAGCTCTCTCAGGCTGCAGGCCAGGGGTGGT